CCCCCCTCGCCCCCCCACCCCCCCCCCCCGCCATACTCGTTATCCCGACGACGTCCATGGTGTTCGCGACGACCATGTCCCTCGTTGTCATCGTCGTCATCTCGGCGACCATACGAATCCTCATGGCGACTACCATGCCCGCTGTTTCCGCCATAACCACTCTCTTGACGGCCATAGCCACCGTCGCCACCGTAGCCGCTTTCCTGGCCCCCGTAACCACCATCCTCACGTCTGTAGCTACTCTCCTGTCGGCCATAGCCGCTGTTACCGCCGTAGCTTTCTTGACGACCATAGCTGCTGTTGCCACCGTAGCCTTCCTGACGACCGCCGTAGCTACTTTCTTGACGGCCACCACCGTAGCCACCACTGCCGCCGTAGCTATCCTCTCGTCCGCCATAACTGCTCTCTTGACGGCCATGGTTGTCATCGTCGCGGCGGCCGTGGTGAGGGCTGCTACCGTAACTACTTTCCTGACGACCATATCCGCTGCCTCCGCCATAGCTGGACTCCTGGCGGCCACCATAGCCTCCACTTTCGTCGTCATCGTGGCGTCGGCGGTTGTTACCTTCATGACGCCCGCTCTGCTGGCTGTGACCGTAACTGCTGCTCTGCTGACTCTGGCCGTAGCTGCTAGATTGCTGACTATGCCCGTAGCCGCTGCTCTGTTGACTCTGACCATAGCTACTATCCTGACGGCCGTAGCTCGACTGGCTCTGCGAGTAGAATGAGTCGTTATCATTCCGGCCACTGTCCTTTCTCTCGTCTTCGTCCTTGCCGAAGGCGCCACCAAGAATGGAGCCGGCTTTGCTCAAAAAGCCCTCGAGTCCGCCTTTTTCTTCCTCCTGTTGGTTTTGTTGTGAGCTCTGTCCAGTGGGCAACTTGTAACCCGTGTTCTGCTCGACAATGCCTGCGACCAGTCCTGTAGCTCCAGAAACAATAGCATCGGCAGCTGCCCCTGCAATCTTGTTCTCGAGAGTGTCCGGTTCACCGTAGAGCTTTCGCATCTTGAGCTTGCCAGCGCAGCCATGCCCGTGGCCAGTGTCATCGACACCCTCCTTGTGGTTCTCACCCCTCATGACACCATCGCGAGACAACTTTTGGCGGTAGGAATCCTGCTCACTGCGGAGCTCTTCCCACCACGACGTCACTTCCTTGAACATGGTGTTGCGGGCCTCGGAGACGCCATCTCTACCCATGTCTCTCTGAGCTGGATGATGCAAGATGCCGTTGATGACGCGATCACAGAGACGATCTACATCGGTGCTGTCATCATCAATTGCATCCATGATCTGGGGAACGACCCAACTGATCATCTTAGCGGCGGTTCGACCAGCTATCTCATTGAGGATCTAATTGAAAAGACGGTTACTTTTCCAGAACCTTAAGAGGCGCATTGACGTAAAATGGACAATCATTGCGATACTTACGTTGGAGAAGTGATCCTTGGACAGCATGGAGTGAGTAGGATCTGTTGATCGGTCGTCATTGAAGACGACGTGTTGCTCGTTTTCGCTGCTCTTGATCACTTCGCCAGAACCGGTGGCTAGTTCGTTCTTGATCTGGCGGATCAGGGGTACAACAACAGGTGCCATGATTGAAAAGACGAACCTGGAGAGTTGTTCCTCCAACTGTTCGATAATTTTTGGCAAGACCGGGATCTTCTCAACTGCCGAGGTGATGCCCTTCATGATGTCGTCGTGGAATTCAATAGCAGGCATGATTTGCTTATATACTTGCTGTACGTAGACGGTAAATTCCTCTGGGTTTCGCGGGGAAACAGACATGTTCTCAACCTGGGACGCCGATGCATTCTCCTGAATCTGGTTGATTCGGCTCTTCTGGTCCTTGCCACCAAGGAGACCATCAGGAATCTTGTCCAGGAGCTCACGCAGCAGGCTAGTATCGGAGTTCTTGCTATCCTGAAGAGTCCCCTCAAGCTCTTCAATCTCGTTCTGGGTCATCTTGTCGGATACTTAAGGCAAAATTGTTAACTTTGGGAAAAAAAAGAAAGACTCAGAGACAAAGCAAATTGTCAATACTAACCTTCACCAACGACGGAGTGGAGGAAATCTACACCACCAAAGGTACCAGTGACAATGGGGTAGACATCGCCGTTGGCGCCTTCGAGGCGAATGAGGGTGTCCCGTCCAACATGAGGGAAGATGTCTCGCTCACCCATTTCGATAAGAGCCAGTTCGCAGTAGTTGCTGTGGGCGAGGAAGTCTGCAGACGACTGTTAACATGCATATTGACCGCTTTCATGGATCCCACGGACATGGAAGAGAAAAAACGGCTTGGCATTGGCGAGGGTGGGCACAAACGAACCTTCCAAGCAGTGAAGGCCAGTTCCCATAAGGCGGAGGGACTCATAGAGATCTTCCTTTCTCCCCCCATTCTTGTAATTGCGACCAAGCTCGATGCATCGGCCAAAAAGATTTCTCACGTGCTTGGCGGAAGTCATGATTCCGGCCCGTTCGTTCGCAATGTAATTTTTCATGCCAGACTCAGGATCAATGGACAGCTCTCTAGATTCATCAATGGGGCCTCGAAGGCGGCGGTCATACTGCCTAGCATCCTGATTGTCGGCGTAGTTTTTGGGGTTGTCAATGTGATCTTCCGGGCGATAGCAACCAAGACGGTCGGCAGTAACCTCGAATTCACCAGAGCCGTAGCCAAAGGTCAAGAAACCGAGAACGCATAGGAGGAGTCGGATGGCTTCGGCAGAGACAGACTTGACAGTACCGACGTCAATAGCTTGAGAATAGTCTCGGAGCCAGTTGCCGAAGTAAACCCTAGAGACCATGATCTTGTTGAAATTCTTATGCTTCATGGCACGAGCCATGGCCAGTGTGAGGAGGGCATCTTCGATGTCACCGTGTCGCCCTGTATGAGAGCACCAGAGTTAGCTCATCGTGGATTAGGGAGTGATGCTGTACCGGTTTAGAGCACACGAACAATTTTGGCCCTCGACTTTGGAAGTGGAAGCGATGTTCCCAGCTCCAAAAGCTGCCGCCGGGGTAGCTAGAGCCACAAGAACAATCAGCCCCAAGATGAGGCCATGATTGCGGAGGTCGATCATTGTCCTGGAGGCCTGCGTTTCTCTTTAGAAAAGGGGAATGCTGTGGTATGTTGGAGTTGCGGAAGCTTTGGTGGGGTCGCCTGGGCTCTGAATTCTCCAAGTGGATGAGTGCAAGCTGCTTTGGTGATGATCTACGTTAATGGGGTTGTCGGATGGAAGGAGGATGGATGAGAGAAGAGGAAATACGATGGATTTAAAAAGAGCGAGATAAAGGCATCAAGAAGGCTTGGATGTGTACCAGAGGGAGCCAGGAGGGGCTCTGAAGGAGGGGCAACAAAGATGCCATATTCTGGAGCAAGGAGAGAGGGTGGCAGCGATCAAAGACAAGGGACTCAGACGCCTCCGATATCCAGGGTTTAGAGCGCCGGGGTCTCAAGCATCTGGATAATCAATGCGCGTGCCACTTAGTTCTGGAGTAGTTGTTGCTTTTAGCAGCTGGCGGATCGGGGCTGGGCCCCATTTAGGATTTAGGGCGTGTGAACTTTAGAAGCCTCAGACCACACCGATCTTTAGTAGATGGGTTTCCCCGTCTCCTCTGGAGGAGGCACCGTTCCCGACAGGCAGGAAAGCCCGGCAGCTGCAGAGACGGTTGGCGTACAGAACTGCAATTGTCCCAACGATCAAGCACAGCATGCGCCGTTTGTGCTTGATGTCATCAAACGCCACGCAACGTGGCATCCCTTGTATCACGTACGGAGTACTTGGTACCTGGGACGACGACGCCGCCGGGACTCTTGGCGGTGGTGGTGGGTGCCGGGGGGATTCCATCAACTTTACAAGTATGTCAATACAAACAGGGCAGCTACGCAAAGCGCAGACGTCTGATATTTCTTGGACGCCAATCCGTCCCATCTTATTTGGCAGGGAGCACGCAGTCATTGTATTATTGTTATAGTGCTTGGTGCCGAGAACATATACGAGCTTTCCTGCCCGAGAAGCTTGGACAAAGGGCGGTCAGTATTGAGCATGTACACGAGCCACGACCCGTTTCAGACGCAGCGGCTCAGGCTGCTGCTTTATTTAGCTTCAACTGTGGCCAGCAAGCTTAAAAACAGAGCCAGCCGACATGCAGCCTGACTTTGTTGTAGTACTCCTCGGTCCGAGTGCCAATGGGATTATTGCATAACATCAATAAGACCTGATGCAGGGATCACTGGCTTTGTGCATCCCTGCATTCCCCGTACCGCCAGGTGCAATACCCACTCAAGAGAGTAGTGACTGGCGACTCTTCAACGAAGGTTTCTCGTCGGCCCGCCTGGTCCCCCTCCTCATTCTAACGATTCTGGAGCCTGGTGTCTTGGACGTCAAGCGTGAAGCGTGAAGCGTGAAGTTGAATTGCTCGCCGGCTCACTGTTTTTGCTAGGTGCGCTCTCGCCCCGCCATGTACCTAGCTATTAGGCCTTATATTATAATATATGAACGTATACTTTATGATAGGTAAATATATTTTGTTATAAATTATTTCCTTGCCTAGGTACCTAGGTAAGTATGTGGGGACAGTTTGAATACAGTAAATAGTGGGGGGATGAGCGCATCTAGCAAAAAGACATCTGGAGCGAGCCCGCCGAGCAACTCACGCGTGAAGCACTGCCAGCATGCCGGACAGCTCAAGGGTCCCACTTGGCCGATTCTGAAACATTGGGATCCAGACACATAAGAAGTTCAGCTGCTCAAGCGGTTCAAGTTTGCACCGCCGCTCACCCGCTTCTCCTGTGCAGACAAAAGTGACACGCAGAAGGCGTCAACGGGCACATGTCGACCGGAACAATCAGTGTCTTGACTAACTTGGCGGCATTTTGATTTGGTGCGCGTCTTTCACGGAGCCGGGGCTAAAGGGACAACTACGTAGTATGAATATGAAATTTTACAGAATTGGATGCTCTTTACTCCGTACCTGAGTACCTGGTCTCTGCTCATCTACATCAACAATAGGGTAGCTCTTGGGGTGAAGTAAAGGGGATTGTTAACAAACCTGGCAGAGATAGCAGCTCTATACAGTCTCTTGCTCGCGTATAGTGAACATCCATGTACTGCAGAATACCATAGTCGAACGCAGTTGGCTAGGTGCTCTGCCTGTTTAAACACGCGCTTGTCCTCAACATATGTGGAATGAGCAGGGCAATGCTGTATAATGGAGATATATTGCGACCCAGGAATAGTTTTAACAACATGGACTGTTCAACCTGATGCAGAATATGTGTGACACGGGAAGAATCAACGAGGTGAATGGGAGTCGTCATAAGATGAGATTGGCGAATGACTGAGACAGACCCAAGGGTCACTTTGAATTATTGATTCTTCAAAACTCCAGGTTGTACGGAGTACAGAGCTGGCAGATTCAGGAAAGCTACTCCGTAGTGCAGGTTGAGCAATGCAAGGCAACTTGGGGCTGTTGCCGCCTCTGTTTCGAGACCAGGCGGGAACTACTACAATGTTGACACCAACTTTGCAGCACATTCGAGGCGAATAGACCAGGCAGCACTCGGCGCAACGCCCAACATAGAAGTATTAAAGTCACAGCCCAAATAAAAAGGATAAAAGGAGCTGGGCGAGCCTGATCTCTGCCTCTGGAGAGACCCGTCCAGGAATTATGCATGTATGTGTTTCAACGTTTAGCACCCGGCCGAGCCTCACTACATGTGCTGGAAACGCAAGCATCGTCAAAGTGGCAGTTCCAGTAGACTAGCTTGAGTTGACATGCCGTAAATCGCAGTGGATTGGGAGGCTGGCAGAGAGCCTGATGGCCGAAACCACCAGGAACCGAAACCACCAGGAACATTTGAAGCTTACATTGAGCACGGGCGCCGCAAGTCCGCCACGGAAGGATGGGCGGGTTTGCTCTATCGCCCGACTCAACAAATGGTGATGCGTCATTGATGCTCTCTGACAAAAGTCTTTTCTAACAGAGAGGATAGCCAAGTAACTACTCCGTACTCAAGTCTGGTACTTAAGTAGGCAACAGGGCAGCCGGGCGAGCAAATGTGAGCAACGGATGAGGGCCAAGGGAGGACATGTGAAACAGCACCAGCGGCACCAGTCGACGGCTGGGAGCAACATGAACGTCGCAGAGTTGGCATGACGAGACTTTGCGCAGAGCTCTGGAGGCATCACCAAGGCCAGGCAGTTACGGAGCACAAAGTGCAGAGTACCAAGTAACTAGGTCTGGTCGCTGGGGCGCGAGGACATTTGGCAGCCGTGGGCACTGTCATGCCCGGACCTGAGCATTGATGGAAATGGAGGCACCAGACGCTCTCACATCTCTGCTCCGTAGGCCGTGCTGAGATGTACACCCTCGAGCCCGAAGGTGCTGGAACGATAGCGGGGTCAAGAGTCAAGACGACATGGATGGATGCCAATTGACTTCACGTCCATGGTGCTGTGTGGTTTGCTCTCCAGGCTTAGAGCGCTGCCATTGGCGGCGGGAAGTGCTGTGTCACCTTCTCCATCCCGGCCGCGTCGCAGCGAGGGAAGCTTGAAAACAGCGACTTCAGCGACTCCCCCAAAAAGGTCGCTTAGAGGTCCCTAAGCAGCAGTTGGGGATGGAAGAGAAGTGCCAAAGCCGCCAGCAATGAGCTGACGCCCACTCTTGAGCTGTTGAGTTGGCACAAATAAAAACCCATGTCGCAGTTGCATAATAATTTGGCGCTGAATACGAATAAACATTGATTTGTCACGCAGGGCTTCGCAATCCGCAGTCTGGTTATGATAGTGATGTACTGCAGAGATACGCCCGAGACCGGACAGCGAAGTCAACGGGTGTTTGCAAGAGCCAGAGTGACGAGAACGAGGTCTGGTTGCTCAAGTGGTGCCTGGTGTGGCAAGTGTTAACACTACTAGAAGACTCAATGGTACGTACTTGACTTATGTATGTGCCGTCGGGGATAAGATGGTGCGCCAGAGGGGGAAGGATTAAAATCAATGAGAGATAGCGGCAAAGTGCTGAAATCACCCTGACTCTGGTTGCGCGTGTTCCAGTGTTGATTGTTCTAGCGGATTCAGGGTGCTACTGGTGGTGAAAATTGCACGTGCTGGTTAAATCAAGACCAGCAGAGACCGGACGCCAGCCGAGTCGTTGGCCTGGCGCTTGTTGAGCCGAGAGATTGAGCCAGACCAGATGTTCTTGGGACCAAATGCTTGCTTCCCAGGGGACCTTTGGCAGACGACGTGGCCGCGAGAGAACAGACAACTGATCGTCGTTCCACAAAGCAATGAGCCGTTGTGATTCACAGCGGCTACTTGCGGAACGCGCTGAGAGCCAGCACAGACGGGCGTCGGGGCACACCAAGGCGCACTCAGGCATCCGGCGGGCAAAGGGGACAGACATCTAGAGGAACCAGCAGTTGAGCTGGCAGATGATCAATGATGGGACTGGGGACAGAAACTGGCATAGGAGGTCGAGTGGACCAGGCGTTTCCTCGCAGCTGGACCTCTAACTGGCCACTGCCAGGCTGGCGAGTCCTCGGGGGCCGAGCCCGAGGGCATGGAAGTAGAGGGATACGCCGAGGTCGACGGCTTTTAGCGCGTCAGTTGTTACCAAGACGCGCAAAGTGCTGGCGAGATGTGATGTGATGTGACCAGAGGCTGCAAGCTGGCGGCAGCGAGACAGGGGAGGTGCCAGAAGAACCATCAATTGATGCAGAGCGAGCAGCTGGGCTGGGGCCTAGAACACCACCGGGTTCCAACCCCTGGGTCGGAGCACTGGGGTGGAAAATTTCAATCCTGTCTCGCCTTGCTCGCCCGGCTCAGGCGGCTAGTAATAAGAGACCCTGTGATGCAGCAGCACTCGAGCACCAGGCCCAATGTTGAAGCACCAGACCAGACCACTCGAGCACCACCAGACTTGAGCCTCATGGCCCCGTGGGCCGGAGCAGTGAAGCGCCAGAACGGCACCAGGCCCAGCGTGTGCGCACATGAGCACCTGGGCACCTGAATGCCTGGAGGACCAGCCGCCCCGCCCAAGCCTCAATCCACTCTCCTTCTCGCGCCGCCAGTTGACCACTCAGCACGCTCTCTGCTGCCCGTCTGCATCACAGGGTGCTCCATCTTCGTCCGCCGCCCACTTGCCTGCGTACCCGCGCGCACACTGACCTGGCTGATTTTTTTTTTCCTTTGCTGTGACCTGGCCGTCGATGGGCGATGTTGGAGGTTGCTGATTGCGCGCGGGTGCCAACGCCGCAGCATTCCTACATATTTGGCACACCACCCACCATCCCGCCATCCAGCCCCCCGAGTTTTTCCCTCTTCTTTTCCCTCTTTTCACGCTCCAGCGGTCGAAGTGCCTCCCCATCCCAAAGTCCAGTCCCAATCCCCAATCAGCCAGGTCCTCCAGGCTCCCCCAAAACTCCTCCTCGCCCGCCACAACCTCCCCTTCTAATCCACCACAAAACATCGCCATCGTGCACCCGCTGTGAGGTCAATACAGGCGTCGCATTTCTCGCTACAAAACCACCACCAGCGCGCATCTCCAGCGACCGCCTTGGAGCACTTGTCGCGCCCCAAAACCCACAACTCGTCCACAACCACCAGCTTGCCACATTATGCCGCGCCAGACCAAGAAGGCCGACGATAAGAAAGTTGCCGTCGCGCCCGCACCAACCATGATTCCTGCTCCCACAGCTGGAGTTATTCCTCAGCCGCCCATTCCCATCGGCGTCACCCAACGCGTCGTTGATAATGAGAGCTTCCTCCGTGTTCGCGATTCGGTAAGTTGGCCGGCCTTTTTTTTTTTCCCTCTCTTGCATCCACGCCTGTACAGTTTGGCATATGCCCCCATGTGCCTTGGCTCTGATGAGCTTTCTCTGCCTGGTTTGATCGCGAGCCAACCAGCTTTCAAGTGTCTTCATTTTTGGCTGAATAAGCTCATGCAAGTGCTTGAGGCTTCGAACAAGCGGCTGGTGCAGACGGCAGTTTATGCAATGGTCTGTTGCAGAGACGCGAAGAAATGGCAGCTTGCTCTCTATGCTCTCTGAGCTGCTCTGACCGACCATAGCTTGTGCCATGAGCTCAACCACTCACAGTCTTGAATCGCTCACGCAAAGTGAAGAATTCCTCACCAATATCCTTGAGAGATTTCTTAAACCCACAATATCCTTGTTATTCTTTTCCTTTTCCCCCCTCTCCTTCCCATCCGGTGCAAAACCGCGACTGTAGCTCTCTCACCCACCTTTGTTTACATTGAAGACCCCGCGCCGCGTCTGCACTGGATCCGCCTCTGAGTTCGCCCCGCCATGAACCATCAGCGGCTCGGCTCTGCACCGCGTTTTGCAGGGGTGTAGCTTCAGCAGCTGAGCTTGAGCATTGCTGCAGCTCCTCTGAGCTCTGCCTGGGCTGACCCGGAGAGCTCTTGGAAAGATGCTCGCAGCGCGATTCGGTCATGATGAACGGCATTAAGGCGCAGAACCACCACGCACCCGGATTTTCCAGTGACACATGCTGCATGCGCGTCTTTTCTCTACTTCACTCATATCGAACCCTTTTCTCAACCTGTTGCTGTTGCAATGCAAGGTGCTAACCCAGACGACAGGCTGTTGGCCGCCTGACCACCATTCTGGAGCTCCTGCGGTCTTTCACCCAGGACTACATTCGCCAGACCAACCTTTTGCTTGGTGAGCCCACCGCCGAGGGCCAGGGTGACCTGCTCAGCTCTTTCGAGACGGCTGCTGCTCAGCTCATGATGCCTGTTTCTGGTGACATGGCCGCCCCTGTTGAGGAGAAGAAGGAGCGCAAGAAGCGCACTCATGACCCCAACGCCCCCAAGCGCCCTCTCACCCCCTACTTCCTGTACATGCAGCATGCCCGCTCAATCATTGCTAATGACCTTGGTTCCGAGGCTCCCAAGGGTGCTGTTCAGGAGGAGGGTCAGCGTCGGTGGGCCAACATGAGCCCTACGGAGAAGAAGGGCTGGAACACTGCCTACCAGTACAACCTGCGCCTCTACAATGCCCGTGTTCACTCTTACAAGAACGGCAATCCTCTTGCCAAGAATATGAGCGACGAGGAGGCCCTCAAGTATGCCGACGAGTTCCAGATCCCCATGCCCTCTATCAAGGACGAGGCTGCCCATGAGGTGCCCGCCAATGAACAGGAAGCCATTGCCGAACAGCTCCAGGACGAGGCCAAGACGCCTAAGAAGGCCCCTCCTCGCAAGCGCAAGACTGCCACTCCTGCTGCTGACACCACCATTACTGAGACGGCCAAGGCCACGCCCGCCAGCCCCGATAAGAAGCGAAGACGCACATCCACCAAGCCTGTTGAGGATGAGCCCAAGAAGTCCGGACGCAAGAAGACTAAGAGCTCTTAGATGCCCCGGCACTTTTTGTTTTGCTTTTTTCAGCGCTCCCTGCTTTTCTTCTTGGTGGTGCAAACAACACACGTGACGACCTGTAATTGCTCTCAAAATAATCACTGAGAGCCTGGGTCAGCAAGCACCAAATGCGCCTTCATCTGCAAATTGGATGAAGGAATGTGATATCCCCATGCGACATCAGTGGCATGCCCATGCTCATGCTGCCAAATCTCTTGAAACGTCGGAAGTGTTGGAAGCATCGATTCTCAAATGCTACTGCCATTTGTCTTTTTTTCAGGGCAGGAGTCTTTATTTAGTATCTCTGGGTTGGTTGGTTTCTTATCGCATGCGTGGCAATATCCTCCATGCCTTGGTCATGGGCCCGGGCAAGGGGGGGAGAACGGTGTAAAAACGGAGAAGCCAAAGGAGAGTACGGCTCACATTTTTTGTGAAGGGATCTGGGAAAACGGCTGGGTTTGATTTTGTTTTTTTCTCGCCGTCTGTTACAGGCGTGGACATGGGTTGGTTTTTGTGCCGTGTATGTTTGATACGGATGGACTGTACTTGCAGTTACAGTATTTTGATCGCAATGCCGTAATGAAAGCAATGATTATTATACTATGAATTCTGCTTGTCCGGGAGCTGGGATTTGAGGTGCATTTTCAATCGCATTCTTGATTGCCTTTTCTCTTTCATCTTCTTGTTTTTGCATGGTCTAACTTGCTCGCTTTTGCTATACATATGTTCATGTCTCGACTGTTCAAACCCATCTGGGTATTTACGCACACATGACTCCAAAGCTCACACCAAGAAGCCTGGTATAACTTGGGGCTGTGGGTAGCTACTTTCCAATTTGGGGCAGGTGTGGGCGTAATAGTTTTGGGGCTACGCCCGGACACGAAGAACTTGGACTTTCAACTGCCGAGGACCTCTGTTTTTGGTATATCCAGGACCTACTCCGTTGCTCTCTAATATGACGTGTGTAATCGACAAAAAACGCCCAACTACCACGCTATGAGTTGAAGCATACTTAAAAAAAAAGACACCGGGAGTTTTGAACCCAGCTCATTTTTCGTCGTTCGACCACTCCCCTAAACATACGTTCACCCCTGGTCCTCCCAGCATCCTCCATGTCCTCAAAATGGTGACGACGGCATCCCAGTTTTCATCTGCCTCTCGGTAGACGCAGCCTTCTTCAACACTGCTAGTAAATGTACCACGTCTGCGTCAGCGGCAACGTCTCCGCCGGTTCGGCGCTGCACACCTTGCCATCCGCCTCGACAACATAACTCTCGGGATCGACCTTCATCTTGGGCATTGCGTCATTCAGGCGCATGTCCTTCTTGCCTATGCCTCTGCAGTTGCGGACGGCCTCGACGCGGCTCCGAAGGCCGTACGACGCGGCCGTCCCCGAGGAGATGCACGCCTCCGAGACGAAGAGCACCTTGGTGCTGGGCACGAGCGGCGCGTACATGGGACGCCCAATGGTGGGTTGGATCGTGGGGATGGAGCCGTTCGCGTCGCCCTGGATAGTGTGAGCATGTATGTGTTGGGGAAAAATGGGCAGGGGGAAGGAGAGAAACTGACCATCATTGCCCAGGCCACCATTCCGGCCTTGAGCACAAACGATGGCTTCGTGCCGAACCACGCCGGGTCCCAGATGACCAGGTCCGCCAGCTTGCCCACCTCGATGCTCCCGACGAGGTGGGAGAAGCCCTGGGCGATGGCGGGATTCACCGTGTACTTGCTCACGTAGCGGCGGACCCTGAAGTTGTCGGCGTCGGAGGCCTCGTCCTCGGGCAGCTTGCCGCGCTGGAGCTTGTTCTTGTGCGCCGTGTTCCAGGTGCGCAGGACGACCTCGCCGCAGCGGCCCATGGCCTGCGAGTCGGAGCTCATGATGCTGATGGCGCCCATGTCCTGCAGAACATCCTCGGCGGCAATGGTCTCGGCGCGGATGCGCGACTCGGCAAAGGCCACGTCCTCGGGGATGTTCTTGGACAGGTGGTGGCACACCATGAGCATGTCGAGGTGCTCGTCGAGCGTGTTGTTGGTGAAGGGCCGCGTCGGGTTGGTCGACGCCGGCAGCACGTTGGGGTGCTCGACGACGGAGATGATGTCGGGCGCGTGGCCGCCGCCCGCGCCCTCGGTGTGGTACGTGTGGATGGTGCGGCCCTTGAAGGCGGCGATGGTCTGCTCGACGAAGCCCGACTCGTTGAGCGTGTCGGTGTGGATGCAGCATTGCACGTCGAGCTCGTCGCACACGCCGAGGCAGGCGTCGATGGCTGCCGGCGTCGCGCCCCAGTCCTCGTGGACTTTGAGCCCGCATGCCCCGGCTGTAATTTGCTCGCGGAGGGCCTCGGGGGACGAGTCGCATCCTTTGCCTGTAAGGCCGACGTTGAGCGGGAGGGCGTCGCAGGCCTGGAGCATGGCGCGGATGAGGTTCTTGCCTGGCGTGCAGGTTGTGGCGTTGGAGCCGGCGCTGCGTTTTTTGCACATTGTTAGCATTGTTGAAGCTTTTATTTTGATTTGAGATGGATGACTACGAGGTAGTCATCATGCGTGGTTGATGAGGTTGAAGAAGGTGTGAGTGAGCAGGCTTGTGTGAGTATGTGTGAGAGAGAGAGTGGCAGTGAGAGAGTATATTAACAATGAAAGCAGCCTCTAACATAGCTGCAGCGAGGAAAGAAGCAACAGACCTCGGACCCGTGCCGCCTCCCAGAAACGTGGTTATGCCCGAAGCCAGAGCCTCGTTCGCCTGCTGCGGACAGATGTAATGGATGTGGGTGTCGATGCCACCGGCGGTGACAATCTTGCCCTCGGCGGCGATGACGTCGGTACAGCTGCCGACGACCATGTTGGGGGTGACGCCGTCCATGACGTCCGGGCTCCCGGCCTTGCCAATGCCGACAATGAGGCCGTCCTTGACGCCAATGTCGGCCTTGTAGATGCCGGTCCAGTCGACAATCAGCGCGTTGGTGACGACGACGTCGAGTGCCTCGGCGTCGCGGCGGCCCGTGGCCTGGCCCATGCCCTCGCGCAGCGTCTTGCCGCCGCCAAACTTGCACTCGTCGCCGTACGACGTCATGTCGCGCTCGACCTGGATCCAGAGGTGGGTGTTGCCGAGGCGGACGAGGTCGCCAGTGGTGGGGCCGAACATGGCGGCGTAGGCGGCGCGGTCCATCCGAAACATGTCGATGTGGGCGGCGTCGCCGCGCGGGTTGGCCTCGGCGACATGCGCGAACCCGGCCGCCTGCAGACCGGCCACGACGTCAGCCGCGCGCCGGCGCTCGACGATGCCCGCGGCGAGGCCGGTGCCGCCGCGGATGACGCGGCCGCCGCCCATTTCGACGAGCGTTACCGTCTTGGTGTCGCCCGGCTCGAAGCGCACCGACGTGCCGGCCGCAATATCCAGCCGGTAGCCGTACGCGCGCCCGCGGTCAAACTCCAGCTGGGCGTTGGTCTCGACGAAGTGGTAGTGCGAGCCGACCTGGATGGGCCGGTCGCCCTTGCTCGTGACGCGCAGCCGGATCCTCGCGCGGTTCTGGTTCAGCACCACGCGGCCGCGCACCGCCACCACGGCCCCGGGCTGCTTGTCCAGCGCGTACTCCGAGTCCGGTGGCAGCGGGAACGCCTCCGTGTCCGGCACGGGGAGGAAGCTGCCGTACAGCGCGCGCCGCAGGTCGCCGTCGTCGGTAGCGATGGGGTTGTGGACAGTGACGAGATATGTGCCCATGGGGAACGTCCCCTCCACCTGGATCTCGCGGAGCGTGCTGCACACCGCCGGGAGGACGTGCCGCCGTCCGAGCATCGTCGCGCCGAGGGCCATGAGATCCGCGACCGAGTGGTTGCCATCACGGATGAGCTCGTGGAGGTTGTTTGCGATCAGGGCCTTGGGACAGCCGTGTTAGTTGGTGAGCTTTTGGTGTGGGCAAAAAGCGCCGGCACGAAAGGGCGTCAAACCGGCTTTCTTCTTCTTTTTCTTCGTTTTATCGTACCGTAGCTTCCGAGTGATTCAGCCTAACGCCTCTCGCGAGGCGCCGTTGCGCCAGCAGGCCCAGCTGCGAGATGACAAGCTTGTCGAGCTAAAATTCCGCGTCGCAGAGTATAAGCAACAAAGAAAAAGCACACGCGAGAAATCGTAGTACTAGCTTACTTCCCTGGGCGACAGGTACATTGTCCCCTGTTACGGCTCCTGGGGCCTCAGACAAGAAGCTGCTGCCAAAAAAAAAAAAAAAAAAAAAAAAAGGGTTCCGAGATCGGGCAACCGAAAGAGCCAAGTAGAAGAGCTTCTTCACCACCAGGGGCAAGCATTTCATGCAAAGACGAAGAATAAGACAAGATGTAGAAAGAAGGCGAGAATTAAAAAGTAGAAAAAGAAGAAGAAAACCGAGAAATGAAAGACAAACGCCACGATGGGGGGTTCTAGCTTCTTCACGCATCGCTTTTGGCCGAGCAATAGCTTCCATTTCGGCGACGGTGCCGGGCGACCCGACTTCTTCCTCTTCATTTCCCACCCCCCCCGATTCACCGCCAGCGCCTGTTTCTCCAATCCCGTGTACCTTGTAGTTTCGTTTCCATTTGCCTACTATACAAGATACTAGCGGGCTCCAGAAAAAAAAAAAAGCCGGGGCGCGCACCAAGTGTCAGAGATAAGAGACAATGAGGCCACTCACTTCCCAGGCTGCTATCGGATGTCGCACCTTATCAGCAGCAATGCGAGTCTCTGCCTCACACTAAACACACACACCTCGACACCTACCTACTAGGTAGGTTTGTACATGGGCACAAACCCGACCACGCAGGGGGTGTCGAGTCAAGATGGTCCGTCTGGTGTGGCGGCCGCCAGCGCCCATGACAACAACCTGTCTTTGACTGTTTACGTGGTCTGGATTCGGAGCCGGAATCGAGTGAGCGTTGAGCGAAAGCAAGACTGCTCATAATATGCGTATCGCGAAAAACATTCGTCACCCACACGCACCCCTTTCACGCACCCCCCCTTCGCTGCAGTCTGTCCAAAAGATGCATCAGGAACCGATAGGGCGGGACCTGTTGATTCATGCGGTTTTGTCAAAAAAAGCCCTCCTGCCCGACGTATCGGAACGGAATTGGCCACTTGGATTGGCGGAAAGCGAGCGCCAAGACTCTGGGGGAGCGTGGGGCCGCCTGTTTTGCTTTCCTTATCGGCGCGCCGTGACGGGTTGGATCGGTAGGGCCCCGGTGTAACGATGTGCTTATTACTAACGCGAATGCCCCCTATCGCTGTACTTGACCGGCTAGGGTCTTGTGCGACCGGGAACGTGAGTATGCACCGAGTACCTGGTAGTAGTTGTGCATCTTGACCATCTGATGCCTCCGAAACCACATACATGCCTACAGGTACATACATGAGCACCGTGGCCACTTGAAAAGCCCGTCTTGATGCACTCATTCACCTGTTGAATTGGAAACCAAGTCCCGAGGTCTGCACACAACGTTGACACTGCACGACGCGACACACGCACACACATACATACACCGCTCCTTACTGCAGTCGCCCGTCAAAACTCTACAAATGCACCTCGCTGTCATTCAATTATCATCTACATAGGCACACGCGCGTCGCTTCTCCAATGCTGACAACTCCTCGCGAGCCCTTGAAACATGGCGCCAACCGGCCGATACCCCCATAACGCCTCGTTTGCAACCCAAAAAAAAGGAGGAAAAAAAAAAAAAAAGGAAAAAGAACAAACGCCCACGAAACCCATCTGAAGTGACATGGGCCGTGTCAGCGGTCGCAAACTTGTCGTTGGCGCATGTGGTAGTCCATTATTGACAGTCTGGTCTCAACCACCGTGTCTGCACTGCAACATGCCACCCCTCTCCATTCTTTACAGGAATGGCAAGATGTTCGCCCTTCGTCCCTGAATCCTTTTTATTCCTCTTCAACTTCTTCGTCCCATTGTTCCTTCTCCTTTTTGATCAGATCTGCCATGATGTCAGGTTTGAAAATGGAGCTGTCCGGGTCCTTCTGTCTCGGCACTTTGCCCAGGTTCTCATCGTCAAACACCGAGCCTATCGTATCGATCCAGCGCTTCCTCCGCTCCATCAGCGTCTTGGTCTGGTCCCCGATGCCTGGTCGTGCCGTGCCTGCAGCACCCCCCACGAAGTGGCTGCCGCCACCCGCTCCTCCGGGGCGTTTCGTCTTCTTGCTCTTGCCCATGGTCCGCGTCCGCTTCAGATATGCCGCCTGGACTTGAGAGTCGAGATCTTCGAGAATAGTCTGGTACTCTTGGTGAGCCATTCGCTCACGAACCAATTCTGTCAACCGTGCCTTGCGAGCTCCATTGATCAGCATTTGCTCCTTCAATCGGGACTGTAACAGCCGTAGCCTGCCCGCAACCTCATCGTCGTAATGCCCATCGTATTCGCTCTCAAATACTTCCTGGGGAAGAAAACCAATATGCCTCAACTCCTGCTTGAGCCGCTCGTCAACCTGCGCATACTCGAGTTTAGGGTGTGTCGCCTTCTTCCAAGCTTCCGTCGACGATTCTGCCATGTATGTAGCTGGCGGAAACGAGTTCGTTTTGTCTTCGCCAGCCTGCTCCTCCCCATTGCCATCGCCGTTCATGGGAACATCACCATTCGTCACGCCATTAACCGCTGGCTTATCATCAGACCCTTGCGAACGGCCCTCGGGTCGCAGCAGTTGCAACAGCCGCGAGGCCAGAGGCCCTATCGACAAAGAATCCGTCTCGCCAATGCTGTCGCTCATGTTGTCTATACTGCCTCTCGGCTGATTGGGAGGAAGCTTATCACGTCCCTGTTGCGGCGAGTCAATAGACATGGCTCCGTCCTCCTCGGCCCAAATTTCCGTGTAGTGCCTCTTCCCCCTCTTAGGCATGACAAACGGCGTCACGCGGTCGCCGCGTTCTCGTAGAAATGCCAAGTCCTCCTCCGAAAATGGTCTAAAGTACGGATCGATGTATGTCGAGAATGTCGAAAAGTTGATCTGACTGCTGGGTTTGGCATTACTAAAGTCATTGTCGGGTGGATCACCTGCAATGAGATTCGCCAGGTCGTTTTTGGGATAGACTGCCACCGAGTAAATTTCCTTCTTTTCCTCGTCGGACATGCCCTCGTGAACAGGGCGAATTTCGTAGACGGTCGGGTCAGGGAACGTGGACGGATCCTCGCCGAACGTTTGTGCGGCAGGGAGTTGCCGTTTCGGCGGTGCGCCTTCGTCTTCGGAACTCGATTCTTCATCCTCTTCATCCTCCTTGTTCTCTTCTTTCGCTTTCTTGTCAACGTCCATCGCGGACGGCGACCCGGCAGCAGGCGGCGATAGAGACGAGCTCGCAGAGCCTCCTCGAGAATGCTTGCGCTTGGCGTCCTTGAGAGGTGATGACAGATCTGTGGTTCGTGCCTGTTAGCATGCATAGCGACCTCATATATTGCCGCGGCGCTCCATCACACTGGGAGGAGGCAAATTGAAAGTTGGCGCCAGGCATACCTTCTTGCCCCAGAGACTCGGAGCCCTTCTTTCTCTTGTGTTTGGTTCTCTTCCCTTCCGGCTCGCCGTCCACGCGCATATCGTAGTCGTCAGGTCTTTTCTTTCGCTCGTCGGCAAGATGCCGCATGCCCCGGTCGTAGAATGTAGATCGCTTTTCCATTATGTTTACAAGGTTTTTTAGCTTTTCTAGCATCGCGTCGACGCTCTTGGAGTCGGGCACCGTCGCATTGACGGCGCTTTGGTCGACAAGATCGTCATAACTAAGGTTTCGAAACAGAATTACCCTCGTGTTAAGATAATCTGGGTCGTAGAATTCTTGAGGAGGTAGGCTGGCTGAAGGCACAGGGGCGGGAGTGGTATTGCGGCTCTGCTTCGGCATCGTGGCGGCATTCTTTTTGCCCGAACCGGCCTGACTCGACCCGGGAGCCATGCTGGAAACTAATCAATGATGAAGATTAATCTTTGATGAATGCATTTGATGCCACAAGGTACCTGGGTAGTTTTGATGATGGAATCAGCTTGTCACAAGAATATCATCGAGGCCGCAGTCGCGCCTGCACGTCACAGCTGGCATTATGATTGGTGCAAGTTGGTAGAGGGGCAAGCCAACCAGCCTGGGGGGATACGGGCAAAAGGTATTGCGGAACCGGAAAAACGAATTTTCCTGCAGGTGTGTACTCCGGCGAGTTACTTGGTAAGTTACTTAAGCAGCTATGTCGTCACCAAACATTGAATACGGCAACTTCCTTGTCCCCAGGCATCTTTAGCACGACACGCGATACATGTCCCTTTGCTTCTCTGCCTCAACAGTACGAGACTAATTTGTAGCTAAATTCTTGGCGGAATACGTGCCAAGGGTGCAAACACACATAAAGCTACCAGCTACTCTCCTTGGTATCTCCAATGGTGATGAAGTATGAAGTCACTGTGCCGTCTCTGCTATCTCGTCAGTAGCTGGCTCGCAATAAGTCGCGGAGAAAGACGGGACAAAAGCCGATTTTACCAATGGAGGCTGGAACTTCGGCGCGTACCTTCTCCGTCAAGGTACTCCAAAGCGTCTAGACATTTTGAGACATTCACAATAGTACTAAATGAAGCACAGGATGTTTCAAGGCTATTATTGATTTAGTATTTGACTGATTGCGATAGCTACGGAATTTGTACTATGACAACTAAAACTGGGTGTCAAGGCACAGCTTGGCTTCTCCGCTGGACTTCAAGCTAGACCGACTATTGGTAGGTTTCAGTCTCAATCGCGTTAAATTAAATGCTCTGTCACAGCCAGGAACTAGGCTATTTCTGGAGCACCTCGTCTTGTTCCAGGTAGAGTCTTCCGTCATCGTCATTATCGCCAATTGATGTCGGTGTCGGCTACAATACGTTGCCCAGATCATCGCCAAGATAGAGGACCCTGGCGGATATGCGGGTGTGAGGCAGGGGCATCGGTTTCCTAGCGAAGTCTGCCTGGAGCTAGAAACCATAAATAGCCTGGTGTTACTGCTTCTGCCCATTCCGGATTCGGGATAACCACGTTTGGATCTAGTAGATGCTGAATTTAAAGGATACAGGTAGGGTTGGAGGTTGCATGGACAGGTCAACTGTTTACGGGAGCAACAGCCACGACTTGGCGAAGTGACGCGCAAAGAGGGTTTGGTTTGCCATGATGTCGCCTGCATTTTTCTCGCTTTTCAAAGGCAACTTATCCGGAGGTATGTGAGCCGCCACAGCCTGCACCCACACTAGGAGATGCGGCGACCCTGCACGTATAACAAGACCGGAAAAAAAAAAAAAAGAAAAGGAAAGAAACAAAGAACAAAAAAAGAGGAAGAAAAGAAGAAACTGACCAAGTCCCCAGGCGCTTACCAGTGGTCAAGGAGTCGAGACATACGACGCGTCTATCAAGCACAGGGAAATTGACCCCTACGGCTCCAATCGTCCCATGGTGAATAACTATCGCTTGCTCGTGGCAGGTATCGCGCCTCGGCCTGTAGGGTTTGCCAGTACCATCTCAGAGGATGGCAAGTCCAAGAACTTGTCTCCTTGCAGCTACTTCCAAGTCATCGACCATGATCCCCCAATGTTCATCATCGGCTTCTCTTCTCGTCACGGCCGTGGCGAGAGAAAGACACATCTCGCAACCTCAGAGACACAGGGGAATGTGTTGTTGATTCCGTGTCGGAAAATTATGATTGAGGCCGTCAACGCATCGTCTATAGATGCGCCTTATGGCGTGTCAGAGTGGGATGTCTTTGGGTTGCATGAGGCCGGTACGACGACTGTCAAGCCATCTCGTGGGCTCGTGGGCAAGAGGGTGTGTTCTCGATTGACGCCCAGGTGGTTGATATCAAAGAATTTGCAAGTCCCTCAGAGGCCATGAGTCTGGCTGGATGGGCCCCCCTCGAGGCCACACGTTTCTGGGTGAGGGAGGACGCAATGAACTCGGATGCCAGCCATATCGACTTGGAGAAGCTGAGACCCGTAGGCCAGCTCGGTGGAATTTCCTACGGTCGCATCATCTCGACATTCGAACCCAAAGAGTGAGCTCCTGGCCAGTCTTGAATCCAGCAAGTCCAACAGCAGCGTGGATGAAGACGGCAAGGTGCTGACTGGCGGCGGCAAACCTTCATGCCTCGGGATTTAAGCAATAGATGGATCAAATAGGTAATAGATAGCTGCCTGCCTAGGTACCCAGTAGGTACTGGGTATGCACGCTCAGAAGCCACGACGGGCATGACATGTGTCGTTGTTTCTTACGGGCCGAGGTGTCTCGCATACGCCAAACGGCCCTTGTCGAGTGAGTCCTCAACAGTTTTTCAGCAAAGGCATATGATGACAAGTGCTGTCTGGTGTACATGCATAGAGTCCTACAATTGCTCCATGTGCATTCCAGGCACAATCCTATTGGCACTGGGCGGCGTCTCTGCCCTCTGAAGTCAGTTCTGTCGGCTGACGGTCAGGCCCCTCTGAGGCGCTAAACCCTCCAGATGCCCTAGGGTCTGGTCAATATGGAGTAGCCACGCAACAGCATTCATTGGCTGTCAATTCCATCCGTGTCCACGTTGCACGTCTTCACATGTCAGCGATGGGCGAACTTGTCCCTGGATGTCCCCATCATTTCACCCAGCTTTCACCAATCACCTCATGGTATTCTCGAGCTCTGGAGCCCAATGCCGTCAAATTTCATATATTCCCAGGTTTATTGACTGCATCTAGGTCAGTTTCCCAACAGAAATTAAATGGAAACAAAATGGTGAGAGCTGCCTGAAAGCCGATACTGTCCGAAGAGAGGAGCACAGCAGGTGAGTCGTGACGATGACTGGGTACGCACGAGAAACTGGAGAAACTGGAGCAGACAGGGCATCATAGCTACGACTTGGCCGTGGTATGGCATGCGAAGACCACACGCTCAAACCAAAGCCAGCGGGGAGATCAAGACCGTCTTTTGTTTCCGATCGACTACTCGGTACAGCACGAACCTCCGTCTCCAAAGCCAATTGGCCCACCCGAGTGCGCAAGAATCGAGTTTCCAGATGCCGAGTTCGAGTTCGAGTTCGAGTTCCAGCCAGCCTGAGCATCGTCAGGACGCACGTTGCACAACCATGTGCCTCAGCCATTGGCCCACGCCGTGCTGGCGTGCTGGGGCCCCGTCGAAAGCCAGAGCCATGGCCGATGCCTTGACCCGCTCCAACCCACGATGATCCTGGGGTTCCTAAAGCTGGCCTGCTTGGTGGGTCCCGGCTGTTGGAGGGACGTATGACGGAGGAGCATTCGACGGCATCAAAGTGCATTGTGTAAGTAAGTGTCTGGCGCGGAACAGGAATCCAGTGCTGGGAACGCTGGGGGAAGTACTACAACGTGGGCGGTGACGGGCTCGTTGTTCGCATGTGGCCTGCTGAACCGTGTTCCTTCCCAGGACTCTCCAGAGGCGTGGCTTCTATCAATGGGCAATAAGGGACTCTGCAAGAAGGTATGTACGTTCAGTCCCCGTTGCTCCAGTCCATGGTTGACGCCTGAGAAGCCAATCCGGTGCAAATGACACCCCTGTATAGCGAACCTAGCTCATAAAAACTACAGCTACGGAGCAACACCAATCGACACCTTGCATCTTGATGCGCCCTGTACGACCCTGGCCGTCCCTTGCCTTGCCTTGCCTTGCCTTGTCCTGCACGTCTGTGGGTAGGTAGAGCTCCCCTCATCGATTTGTATCCCAAGTACGGAGCAGTATCTGTCCTGCTCCAGAAGTCAGGGTCCGATGGATCATCTGCCCTTCTCCCCATCCAACCGAGGAGTACCTTGGACCATTTTACCAGGTACTCAAGTATATATCTCTTCGTCCCCAGTCCCTCGTGCCTCATTTCCTCCTCACTGCTTCTATCTCGTGTCACATTTGAGAACTTGTTTCAACCATTCTCCGCAGCTCCGAGTGTTCAACAACCTCCGGGCTAACTTCAATTGACTTGAAATCTCATTGTCTTTCGTACAATGAGAGAATACCATGGCTTCTCATGTGAGTTTGAGTCTAGCCTACAGACCTGCCCCTTATTGAATTTCCCCCTCTTCCCCCCCTATGTTTTACTAGACAAGATTCTGCCAACTGACAAGACTATTATCATATCATAGGGTGGTAACCTTTTCCCCTTTGAAATTAGTCTTCATGTTCAACCTATTTATGCTGGACTAGCAATTGCCGTCCTTGGCGGCATTGCATTGTCCCGCCTTTCGTCTCGATCCAAGACCGATGACGACGAGGCCCCGGGCCTTGTACAATCATTTTTTCTCTTCTTTTACTCCTCTTTTCTTAAGCCTCACCAGGGCGATTCAAAGGCCAACCAGCAAGATGCTCTGGAGAGCTTCTATAAGAAGCAGGCTGGTGCTTATGACTCCACTCGCAGGGTCCTCCTTCGAGGACGCGAGGACATGCTGGGCTTAGTTGTTGCCCAGCTCAAGTCAAAAGCGGAACAAGCTACCGCTGCAGGCAAGAATCAGAACAAGCGGATTTGGGTTGATGTAAGTGCTACTATGCTCGCTGGAAGAGAAAAAGAAAAGAAGGACCCCCAAAAAAAGCTCCCTTATTCAGTGACACTAAAAAAGAGAATTTACACAGATTGGTGGCGGCACCGGATGGAACATTGAGACCATGGGCCGCTTTGTCAATGTTCCCGACTTCTTCACCAGTGTCTACCTCGTCGACTTTTCTCCCTCCTTGTGCGAAGTCGCTCGAAAGAGATTTGACAGACTAGGATGGAAGAATGTCACCGTCGTCTGCGAGGACGCGCGCAAATTCCGCCTTGAGAACTATGAAACTGGCATGAGCCCAGCTCAGAATCCTCTCCGTTCTCCTGTTCTTAGTTACTTCAAGCAGCAGCGTCCCGAACACGGCGGCGCTGATCTCGTTACCATGTCTTACAGTTTGTCCATGATTGTGAGTTCTTAATCCTAGGCAAGAAACATTGTCCTATCGAGTGTCATGTATTAACACGCTCATGTAGCCTGACTACTACTCCGTCATCGACTCCATCACCTCCTTGCTCTCTCCTCATGGAACTTTTGGTGTCGTCGATTTCTACGTTCAAAACAGAGTGGACTTTTCTTTCCGTAACTATACCGGCGGTGTAGTTGGCCGCCATGTCAATGCTCTCTCTCGAATGTTCTGGCGTGCATGGTTTGACTTTGATCGTGTCGGTCTAGAGCCAAGCCGTCGTGACTACCTCGAGTATAAGTTCGGTACAGTCCTCAACATCAACGAACGCAATAAGACCCTGGGTTACATTCCGTACTACATCTGGGTTGGCTGTCAAAAGAAGCCGTTCTCACCTCTTAGTCTGCCTCATGAAATTATTGAACGAATTGATGCACTGGCTACGGAATCGCCTTACCTGTACCCTGTCAACCAGGGCGACGCTCTGACTCGAGCGATTGAGAGATCCGCTCCAGAAATCCGCTCCAAGGCCTTCATTACTGCGGTGCAGAATCTGTCTGCCAACCTGCCACTTCCGTCATTCTTTTATCAAAACCACCATTGGCGTATCTACTACGACGACCAGCTGCAGAAGCACACCCAGTTCAACGACGAGTATATCTACGCCTTCACATGGGAAGATGCTCGTGTCGATGAGCGTATTCTGAAGCTCGGCCCAGAAGACAAAGTTTTGGCAATCAGCTCTGCTGGTGACAACATTTTGTCGTATCTTGCCCAGAGCCCAGCTCGTGTTCACGCTGTTGACCTCAACCCGACCCAGAATCATCTCTTGGAACTCAAAGCCGCTTCGTACACTGCTCTCTCTTATGACGTATTCTGGATGATTTTCGGCGAGGGCAAGCACCCCGAGTTCCGCGAGATCCTTATCAACAAACTGTCCCCTCACTTGTCTGCTCGCGCATTCCAATTCTGGCTCAACAATACCCATGTCTTCCAGAACAAGAGTGGTTACGGCCTGTATGATACCGGCGGGGGGCCCCGCGCCCTCC